ATACGGACTTAAGGTATGAAGGTTCGGTTCAAGACCACCTCAGAATGTGTCAGGTAGAAAAGAGAAAGGGGAGAAAATGTCCAAATGGAGCTAAAAGGAGGAGAATAATAAAAGCCTGGGGGGGGGAGGAAGGAGTGAGGGGGAGATAAGACGGGTCATGGAGGGCAGGTGCGGCGGGAGACGGCGGGAGGGCTACGGTTTAAGTACGAGTACGCACTGTACAGGTTTGATCTCTAAAGCTGCCCTTTCTTTATCAGGGACCACCACTTACCTTCCCTCTGTCTGTTCTCTAGCCCCCCCCCCCTCCCTCTCTCTCTCTCTCTCTCTCTCTCCCTCTCTCTCTCAGTGCCAGAGCACCTCTATAGCTGTATGAATAATTGAACGAGCCTGAGTCGGGACTGAGAATTATTCTGTTGCGGTCATGTCCAGCGTTGCTGCAGGCAGCCAGGCTTTCTTGGCAAAAAACAAGGAACCTGATCCTGGGTCAGTTCTGTTTGCAGCGCAATACAAATGACAAACACACACACACACACAGAGACACAGACACTGGTCTTGGTGATGTGTGTGCTCACTACACATTTCCCTTAACCTTACACATTACAAGTACAGTATATGCCTCACCTTCTTACACACACACTCACACACACACACGTACGCTGTCAAAGACAGAATATAAGAAGAAACATGTTTGCCATTTCACAGCAGGGATTCATGGATAAAAGTGTGTGTGTGTGTGTCATACTCTAAGCCATTGTTTCCCAAAGACTGGGTCGTTTTGTAAACTCTAAAATGTCGACTGACTCGGGTCGCTAAGGTTTGTGACTTTTAAATTTTTTTTTTTAGGAAACATAAGATTTAATATGAAGTTAGGATTAGAACTATACAACAGGACGTACATCTATAATAGTAAGATTAGTGTCAGGGGTTGTGGCAATGTAAAGTCCTCACAACATATAAAAACCAGTAATAATTGACCCAAATCTGCCATTCAGTGAAGCCAGTTGCTGCACTGTGGCCTGGGAGAGATGGAACATATATGGCCTATTAGGCTCCTCTCTCTCTCTCTAACTCTCTCTCTCTCTCTAACTCTCTCACACACACACACACACACACACACCTGCCCGCTCACCTTACACCACCTCCACCTGGGAACGCTGCCAGTGTGTTTGTCACAGTAATGGCATCAACTCGTTTTTATTATTGTATTGTTATGCAAAATCACAGGTGTGAACGCACGTGAAAACAGAGGGGAACGAAAGTGAACTCCTCGTCATCGTGACACACAGCACACAACCAAATGTGACCTCTGCCTTAAACTCATCACCAAAGTGAACACTGGGCAGCTTTAAGAGCCCGGGGAGAAGTGTGGGGGGGTCGGGGGGGGGGCAAAATTTAGAGCGGTTACAAAGTCCAAAGTGCCAATTTTTCCTGTAGCTAGGGATCGTATATAGAGTACAAACGTTTGCTTATCTTCATTGACCTTTTTTTTCATGGACCGTCGTATCTGCAGTTTCGAGCTGAAACAATCACAGCGACGCGTCCTGTCATGGACAGACGGTGTGGAAACAGCCATAAAACCTTGGCCAGTGCTGCTCTTCAAGCCTACGAGGCCCAGCGGTCCCATAAAAATCACCTCCTCAACGAGGTCCATGGACGCTAGGGTGTGTGTGTGTGTGGGGGGGGCGTAAATGTAGACAAACTGCATCAGTGTCACGCTGCCAAGGTTAGTCACTGGACGGGATTACAATTCAGTTTTGTTACACAGTTTGGGTTCAATGTTTGGTCCAAATTTAGAAGACAATGGATATTTAACACCTGAGAGATTTGAGTGACAGTTAAGATTAAGTTAAAAATGTCAACCAGACAAAGGAAGACACTTAATGTCACAGTTAGTGTCCTGGGAATTCTGATTAGCGGGTCAGATAAAGTTCTTGTTATTGGTCACCATCTCAAAACATAATAATTTAACGCAATTGATTTATTCCGACTAGGGATTTCCGACGTTAACTCTTTGCCGATATCCAGTATGCCGATCTTGTCCGAAAACGAACCGATAAAGATATATGCAGCTGATGGGTTACAGTGCCCGGCTAGCTCAGTCGGTAGAGCATGAGCATGAGGGTCGTGGGTTCGAGCCCCACGTTGGGCGGTATACGTTTTTGGGGCAGTGGTGGCTTATTGGTTAAGGAAGTGGACTTGGGAAGGTTTCAGGTTCGAGTCCCCCAGCTGCCATGTTACCACAGAGGTGCTCCGAGCAAGGCACCGTCCCCCCACAATGCTCCCCGGGTGCTTGAGGCTGCCCCCTGTTGACGTTGGTGATGGTTTAAAAACAGAGGTCATATTTCATCGGGTGACGAATAATCATTGATTTAATTGATCATTGCCATAGACTTAGTGTGTCTCTGTAAACATATGGTACGTGTCGTGTTTATACTCACGTCGCATCAACACTGTCTTTGTCTCTCTTTTCCTGTATCGTTTTTCTCTTCAACCACCCTCTTGAAGCACTCACACATCTATGAGGTTACGATTGTACCAAAAACTTTAAAGCACTTGCTGAGAATTATTGCAGATTGACCACAGTGACTAAAGCTTTGATGTTAATGGTCGGCCAGTAATTACCCAAACAGCAGCGAAACGTCAGCCGATCGTATACAACGGAGTTCACTCTGCAACAGCAGAGGCTCAGAGAGCTGAACTAATAAAGATAATCACCAACACACTGCTTCTAATTAACCACCAAACCCCACTGTTTGATTCACGTCTTCATTAAGCCTCACTGGCGAAGACGCCGTCTCGGAAAAATTAGGTTGAAATTGCATTAGCAGACTTAAGCCCAGCGACTTTTTTTTTTTTTTTTTCAGCGAATGAGGAGACAGAACTGGCAGAGGATGGAGGGAGAACCGGACAGAGAGGAAGGAATCAAAGACATGATTCAGCAAGTGAAGGAAAGCCAAGCCGGAACCAAGGGCTGGCTGTGATTCTCACGATGACAAGGGAGCGAGGGAGAGGGGAGATTTAAATGGCAACCGGGGAGAAAAGACCTGACTTGACCTCTGATGGATGGAGATGAACACTGAAGGATTGACGGCAGACGGGTAAAAGAGGAAGCACAGTGTCAAAGAGAGAGGAGACACGACTACTCCACAGTCATGGGTTTTATACCAGAGACAATATATGGTGGACAAAAGTGAATATTTAAAGGAAATATATGGACAAAAACAAACAAAAAAAAAGAAAGAAATCATTAATAATAATAATCAGGTATGTCACTGTGAAGAGGTCATTTAGTTTTAAGACAACTTCATAGGAATTACATTGAAGTCTAACATTCCATAAAGACAGCAGTAAATGTAAAAATGATAAAAAATGAAATTATACATATAAACTCCACTCCGTCATCATCATCATCAGCAAATAAAAATTATGAAAACTGTAACTAAACATTTAACATTAAAAATCTAAATTTCTAACAAATATTTAGAACTCACTAATCAACATAAATATCTAAAAAAAACAGTGTATTTGTGTCTGTATTTCAAAGAGACAAAAAAAAAAAACGAGTTACGGTTCTCGCAGCAAAGAGATTACCTAATGTTCTCAAACTTTTGGCGCCGACCGAAGGAACAAGAAAGGAGAGAAACATCACAGGCCAAAAAGACACCACTGAAGATATGACACAAGGGCGGGAAGACAAAACACCATTGGAGACAATGAGCTCAACTCTGCGGAAAGGAGTGACAGATTTATCTTTCATCTTGTCTCTGGAAGACAACTGCAGCTCCAACTGCTGTTGGATGTTAGCACGCTTAAAAATCAAACGCCAAACGATCGCGTCAGAAGCCAACAGATGATCACAACTAAACAAATGGAATACTAAAACATCCTGCAAATTAAGCCAGATACTTCACTGGTGCAGCAGTACGAGGAGCTCCCAACCCACTCTAGCATATAAGTGACAATGAAATAAGAATATAAATAAAAATACCAATATATATTTTTATATACAGTATATATATATATATATATATATATCCCTATAGTCTATGAGAAAACAATGGTTCCTTCAAACGCATTTTCCTTGAACTATAATTTTATTAAATCAATCACAAATTTTGTATTGACCAAATATTAGAAATTAGAATGACAGTTACTGTCTTGTCTCTTTGCAAAAGTGTGTAAATTAAGATCAAATACAGAGGTAGAGGATACCATTTTTGGTTGATTGACAGCTCAGACAGTCCAATCAGACTCATCCATTAACACCACCTATCAAAAACATCAACTCGTCATTTCTGTCCCACAACGACCGCAGTTTGGTTCAAATGGTCTCCAAACAAACTCACCGTTTCATTTCCATTTGGAGCCCAAATGAACAAGTGTTTGGCTCAGCGTGCCGGCCCGTAACGTTCATGCTGATTACACACTGTAATGCTGATAGAAAAACAACACCATGCACTGGTTTATTGGCCCATTAGCTTTGATTCTCTTGGCCACCAGAAGAGGGATCAGGGGGGAAAAAAAAGAAAACAAAAAATAAAACCAGTGATTCTCCACAATCTGTAGCGTTTTTTTTTTCCTTCCCCCAATTAACACTTCACCAAAACACAACCGTCAGCTCCTTTTGCAGCGACATCACAAAAAATAACTGGATCATAAAATGAGCAGAGGTTCCCTGTCATATTAAAGCTTTAGGTGACAGCTCCAAATTGAGTACGCGGGCCGAAAAAAATTCCCCGTCTTAGCCGCCCAATCCTCCCGACCAATTACTGCAGTGGTGTCCCACAGAGGGACAATTTGGGTTACACACACATAGGTACACGGGACAAAAATCCCTGACCTCCCTGTGATCACACAACGGTACTTCACACACTCATTAAAAACCTCTTACTCTGGTCGTTTATTCTGTGTGTGTGTGTGTGTGTGTGTGTTTTCTCCCAGAGCGACTTCTGAGACTCTATTCTAGTCTTTTTCCCCACTTAAGTGTGCACCGGACTGACCTTCACAGAGATGAATAAGCAAAGAAGTTTCCTGATGAAGGCGGCAGTGCAGCAGTGGAAGAAGATCAGTTGACTTCTCTCGACCATCTCTGCAGGGAAGAGAGGATTTTAAAGAGCGGATTTTAGTGCTTAATTCAACAACAAAAAAAAAATTTCAATCAACAAAATGTGCCTTTATTTCCCTTTGGGATCAATAAAGTATCTATCTATCTATCTATCTGTCTGTTTGTCCATCTGTCCGTCCGTCTGTCCGTCCATCCATCCATTTATCTATCTATCTAAATGGTGCTTAAGAAAAAAAAAAGCCAAACCTTTAACACCGTTGTCTCAAATCGTTCAAATCTGGACATTTTTGTCTATTTGAACTGTAAAATGGTCAAAAAAATGCTTTCGTGTATTGATTCAGAAAGTATTTATGGATAATATACAAACTATATTTACATATATATATTTTGGATGATCACATTTAAGGCCACAATTCATATTTGGATTTTACTTTTAAGAAATATATACAGATATATTTGCTTGTTAAACTAGAAATATACCGCTGCGGAATACTGTGTGTTTATTAGATGTAAATACAGATCATATTTATAATTTATTTCTTAAAAAAAAGAAAGTCTCAGCCCTTTACAGACCTAAAATCATAAAACTTTGTTAAAAACATTTTACAGTTTTTTTTTTTTGTATTTTTTTTTAACTTTTTTTTTATAGTTTACGACCAATCAGATTAATTTATATTTTATATCCTCACCTTAAAAGCGGAGTTTCAGGGTTTTTTTTGGAACTGCAGTGTTAAGAATTCTTGCCAGAGGTGCAACAAATGCTGGGTAAATAAAAAGAAAGTAAAATAAAATAAATAAAACACATCTAACACATTGTGTGTTACAGCTCTGATCTTTTCTCGGACCTCCACAAACGTACCTTCTCTACACAGAGGACAAACCACTTCATCTCTTGGCAGAGGACGCTGACGGTGATGAATCCTGAGGAGCAGAATCCAGTTTGAACGTAGTTTCCACAGATACTGGGCAGAGCCGACGCTGCGTCCTTCCAAAACAGTCGCGGTGCACGGGAGGTAAATTTGATGAAAGTGAAAGTGCTTTTCTGAGTAAATAAGAACGGAAGCCCCAAGGGATTATTAAAAAGTTATAATAGTTTAACTCAGTGACGTGCGGTGAGGTGCTGACTTCTCTGGAGTCAGATTTACAATTGTAAAAAGAACCGAAAAGAGCGTCTTACTTCACTATTCATCCAACAGCATCACCTGGTAATGCTTCATATCCATCAGCATTCCTCTTTCAATGACACTGACAACGACACAAACATATACACAGGAACATATTAGTCCCACAAAGACCGTTTCTTTATAGAAATGGACACGTATAGAGATGAAATTTAATTTTGACATTCAGTAAAGAAAATTCCGTTATTTTTCAAACTTTGAATTCTGGTGCTTTAATCAAAGGTTGTCAATCAATTTGATAAGAAAAATATATATATAAGGCCAAAAATTTAGTTATCAAACACAGTTTTTTGTACTTACTTATTTATTTTTAAAAAACAAAAAAGATTTTAGCCTTACCTTTACATATAGATGAAGTCCATGGTTGTGGGGTAGTGAGGCTTCTTTGCAATTTTTTTTTTAGGTCCCAGTATACCGAGTTAGTCCAGACGTTGTCACACAATGAGAATAAAAGACCAGGAAAGCAGTAATGGCGGTTTCTTACGGCACAGCCACACAGCCGGTCTTTTCGTTTGTACCAGTACATTTAAAAAAATAAAAAAAAACGACTCTTTTGTCCCGTAGTTTGAAGCAAACCTTTTAGCTCCGGCGTTGGTCTTCCATCAATTACCTTCTGTTTGAACCGGAAGTTCATTAAAAACGCTGTTCTTCACCTGTTACTGGCTCGAGCTTGGTGCCGACTTTCAGTTCACGTATGACCCCTTGAGGTGCGGCGGAGTACTGTTTCCCACCCCTGCTGACTATTCTCTGCACGTTATTGGCTGGAACTGAAACTGGCAGGCGTCATGTGACCCAGTTTGATTGGATCGTGCAGTCAGATGTGAGGCACAGCTCTTCGTTGCCACACCTGGGATTTCTGCCCTGTATTTGAATGTGAAATACTCGAATTCGGCGATTTTTAATTAATAAAATTTCAAAAATATGTAGAGTCATACTGAAAAGGCATCTTTAACACAGAAATGGAAAATCTGTTGCATTCAAGGTTTTGACAAAGACGCAGAAAATTTTTTTTTAATATCCTTCTCCAGTGTATTGGTACATGCAAGGGTGCTGCCAGGAATTCTGGGCCTCATGGAAGAGTATGACAATGGACCCCTATGTACAGATTATGTTGATGCAGGATTCTAATATTTAATTCCATTAGAAAATTTAAAGCTTCAGTACTGATGTTAACAGAACCCTCAAATTAGAACCTGCTGGCCATTGATGGCATTGCATCTAGAAATTCCTATCTAGTCTGTAGGTCTTGGTTTCTAGATGACTTTTCATCACCGTCCAAGAGGCTTCTTCGGTTCCATCAACAAACAAGACTTGTCCAGTTGTTTATGGCTTATTGAAATCAAAAAAAAAAAAAAAAAAGGAAGACGCCACAGGACACTGTTGGTAATGACGTCAAACCTAGCTAATAATACAGGGTTTACGCAGCAGTAAAATCCAATCCAGCGGCTACAATTGCTAACTCTGTGGCTACAACCTGAGTCGACTGTTTTAAAAGTGACTATATTTAGCTCATTAAAAATGTAGGACAGTGAAGAGAACACGGGACGATAAATGAGAGTCGCTCTCAAATGAAAGCATTCGCCAAGTGTCCAAGACTCAGTCGCAGCCTCTGAGGCGGCGCTCTGACCCCTCCTGCCAATCAATACTGCCCCAGCTGACCACTTCTATTCCTGGCCACCATTCCTGCAGTGTCAGCCCCCCCACCACCATACTTCCCCAATGCCCTTCGTATCCGCCGGCATGGTTTGGACCGACCTGGCACAGAGGCGCCGGCTGCCAGGTCTGATTCATTTTCAAGCAGAGGGGACATTTCACCGACGCCACGTCAAACGTGAGGCTCGCGCCTGCTTTTTGCTTTTTGTTTCCGACATGCGCGCAGCCACCGGGGAGCGACGATCGGCGTGATTTAACAATTTGCAAACACCTGAGAGATATTACCGGATGACGGCAGAACAGGGCCATGGGTGATTTATTCACAGGGCCCTCGCTGTAAAAAGCTGAGTGACCCAAAAAATGTAATGAGAGCAGCGGTGTGTATAAAAAGAGCCGCTTTGTCCCACATGGAGCTGGAACACGGGGGGTAAGAAGATAAAAACAGTGCAGTTGATCTGACAGTGACTGCAGAATAAAACACCACGTGGGAGTCAAAGTATTTTCTTTCATACACATACACACTTATATGGTTGGTATACAGTAAGTTCCTGTTGGGAACAACCATTGAGTTTTATTTATTATGGCCTGAATAACAAGAACTACCCAGAATGCTTTTAGGCAACACAAGTACTGTTGACCGAAGTCGGGAAACTGTTTGCCTGAAAAGCCCGTCACTTACAAAGTTCTTTGTAGCCTTTGTACTGCATATATTTTACGATGCTCAAAATATCATTACAAGAACCATGCAACATGAACAGCTTGGGGTGAGAGAGCTCGTCTTCAGTGGATAGCAGGTTCGAGTCCTGCTCTGTAGAACTGAGGAAGAATTCATTTAAAATTTTGTTGTACCTATATGTACAATGAGAATATCCATCCATTTTCATACGCTTATCCGTTATTGGGTCGCAGTAATCACACTGCACCATACCAGCACCGTACCAACCTCCCTGAACCTTCCTGCAGGTGGTGAGTCCAAGGAAGATACCAACCGCCCTAACTGGGATTCGATCTTACCCAGGAGGTGAACCCTGGGGTTCTACACCCATGACAGAGACGTTGCCTCTGGGCCAAAGACCTGGCGTCCGTGTACGGTAGAAGAGGTTGAGAACCTCAGGCTCACAGCCATTCAAAAGTGAAACTGTGGCCTGAGAAACTGAACCTAACCTGAGAGAATTAGCTTTGATTTGAGATTTGAAAAATGTCTCTCTAATTACGGGACGTGTATATAAATCGTAAACCCTTATATATTTAAAAAAAAAACACACGCGCACACATTCTCACTCACACACACACACTTATAAACTGTACATCGCTTCGGACTGAGCCGCAGCTGCCGGTGTTAATGTTCTGCCGATGCTTCCTGTCATCGACCTGAAATAAAAGAAGAAGAGACAAAGAACAAACGAACCTTAAACTGCAGTGGAAATAAGCAACAACAACAACACCAACATTATACTGTCAGAGTGTGCTTTCACATTCAGCGGGAGCTCGATGCTCAAATTGCCCCCCCTCCCAGGGTTGGTGTTAACCTTGGACAAACAGCACCTGCACCCGAGAGAGTTGTTTATAAAGTGTCCTACACTTGTCAGTGAGGAGGAAAAACGGCTCCTCGGAGAGACTCAGTGTTGTTTCACAGCAGGACGAGCAGAAAAGTAGAAACGCTGAAGACGATGACGACGATGATGATGATGACGATGAAGTTCTCATACGTCAGATTTGACCTCACAGAGGTAGATTTATGGCCCGATTCAGGCCCAATACCCTTATTTTGATAGTCTGGTTGGCATCTACAGATTTGAAAGTTCTTCCTTTTCTCCTTCTAGATGTGTCCCCCCTTTACCAGTAAGGAGAAAATGTCTTTTTGTCCTATTTGGGTCTGACGTCACTGTACTATACTATACTACACGCAGTATACAATAATCCCTCTCCTATCGCGATAGTTGCGTTCCAAGACTCTCCACGAAAAGGTAAAATC